ATGTCAAATGTTAAATTTTCGACTTAAAAGTATTTATTGGTTCATTTTCTAGTTTAGTTTTAATTTTAAAATTTATAAAAAAATTTCTATTTAAATATGTTTTTCTAAGTTTTTTTCATCAAAAAAATTATATTTCCAAAAAAATTTTGAAAAAATAAAAAATCTACCAGGACAAATATTTCATTAAGAGCAATTTGAATATATATTTAAATAAATAAATACTTTATATAATAAAAAAATTTAAATTTAAATTTTATTTATTTGGATATATATATATATATATATATATATATATATAAATATAAAAATATAAAATATTATATATTTTATAGTGTTTTTTTATATATATATATTTTTTATATAATATTATATATATTTATATATATATATATATATATATATATATATTATATATATATAAGAAAAAAAAATTGATATATATTACAATTGTTCTTATTGAAAATGTTTTTATTTTTTTAAAAAAAAAAAAATATAAAAAATTTAAATAAATATATTTTAATTATATATATATATATATATATATATATTTTTTTTAATATATATATATATATATATATATATATATATATATATATATATATATATATAATATGAAGAAAATATACGAAAAAAACAAACAAAAAATCCTAATATGCAATTATGCTGTTTTAATGTTAATATAATGTCAACGTCGGACGTTTCGGTCTAATAGACCATCTTCAGGACATATTCATAAAACATAATTAACATTAGACTATATTTAATTCAACATGAAAAGACGATGGACATAAAAGTAAGATTAATCAAAACAGACAACTGAAATTTTTTTATAAGATCAGCGTTCCGTTTCAATATGATCACGTCGTCGTCACGTGGGCGATGTTGTGAAAAAAATTCCTAAAATTTAGTATTTTTGAATGAAAAATGAAAATATTTTAATTTTAAAATTTATATGTCCGTTTGTCGAGCATTAATCTTGCTAGAAAAGGGGAAATATTAAAGAAGCCGAGTCTAGTATTCATCAATGAGATAGATATTATGCCTATTTCATAAATCCGTCTAAGATTTTTTATTATGAATATATTTTAAAATCTTCACAGAATCAAAATCGAAATTATGATCAGATTTAGTTATGTACAAATAAAGCATTGTTTAAAAAACCGAGGCGAATATCTCGTTTATGTTCAAAAAAAATCTAATTTTACGGACCTACATGTTTTCACCCACATATTTTAAGTCACAGTTGTTGCATGAGATTTGGTAGATGCAAGCATCGGATGTAATATGTTGGTTTCTGGTGTTATTTAATAAACTACGTATAGTTCTAGTAGGTAATATTGTAGTTTTAATTTTTAGCGCATTTAAATTATTGGAGATACGTTCGATTGTAGAGGGTTCATGGCGTGGCTGTTATGTTGTTGATAGAAGTCAGACGTAGAAGAAACGCAAGGTTCAGATACTCCTGCCCGCCGGGCCCAACTACATAAAAAGGTTGGACTTTGATTAAGTCCAAAGAAGAAGGAAAAGAAAGCAAACAAAACACAAGACCGATAATATATGTATATACAAATATATATTAATAACAAGTTACAATGGAAACATGGAAACAGTACAAAGGACGAAGTGTGTGTGAATATTCTGTATGTGCGTGCGTGTGTGAATATTCTGTATGTGCGTGCGTGTATTGTGAATATTCTGTTTGTGCGTGCGTGTGTGAATATTACATTTAGGTTGTTTCCTGAAATCTCTTGAATAGCGCCTTCATTTCGAGGTTGTCAGCTGAAAGGCCTGAAAAAAAGAGATAGAGGTGTAGGGTCAGCGGCTATTTATAGCCAGGGAAGAGAGACCCCTGGTGAAAGGGTTAACGGAGTGAAGGAGGAGTTAACTCCGACATGATCAAATGGTTATTTGGTAGAAAGATGCGACCAAAAGAATTATCAGGGGCAGCTGAAAGTGTGCCTTTCACTGATGTAGTTGTAGTAGTGGCCTTCGAGGTGTCATTTTGCGCTGATGAATGAATTTACAACGCTTTATTTTTAGCTCAGTAATAATTGTCTCGGATACGAAAGATTTGAAAAGGTATCCTCAATATAACTGAATTCATCATCTAAATATTTTGCTGAACAATGCGAAGAGCCCTTAAGTAGAATCCAATAATAATACGCCTCTTAGTATCATGGTGAGAGTAAAAGTGTAAATAGTCGATTTTACATGTGGGTTTACGATATACTTTGAATTCTAATTTATTATTATTTTTAATGTGTGGTACGTCTAAAAAAGTAAAGAATTATTAGACTCAAGTTCATAGGTAAATTCTATAGTAGGTTCTATTTTATTTAATCTATCAGTAATCTCCTTCAAATCATGTTTATGTGTGTATTTACTTACATATTTTAATATATATATATATATATATATATATATATATATATAATATTTATGTTTTAATATATATATATTTGAATATATGTATATATGAATAAAAAAAAAAGACCAGTAAATATATAATCCGGTCTTCTTATAGATATGGAACTAATGTCTTTAATTTAATTACAAAATTAAATTCGGACCTTCCATAAAAAAAAAACATGGTTAGAACTGCTGTGTAGTGAAAAAACCATATTTTATATCAATTAATTTATAATATATTTGAATATATATATATGAATATATATATTTCAATATATATATATATTAATATAAATATATATATATATATTAATATATATGAATATTTTAATATATATATTAATATATATATATATTTTAATATATATATCTACAAATATATATATATATTTTATATATATATATATATATATATATATATATATATATATTAATATATGTAAATTTTATAACTTTGTATAATATCTATGCATTACACTTTATTCGGTAAAAATTTCATTGCTAATCAGGCATTACTTTTGTTTAATACACATATTTATGTCTTTGTTGTTTCCGTTCCTTATATTATCTGCTACTGTATATATTAATATATATATATATTTTAATATATATATATATATATATATATATATATATATATATGGGTTAAATGCATCTCAATATCAGAAATATCTAAATATAAATATAAATATTTATATTTTACATTTGTTTCTGTCTGCCTCTCTTTTATTGTTTCATTTTATCCCATAAATATTCCACACTTAAGAGTATATTTCTTCATTCATATATATGTGTGTGTGTGTGTGTGTGCATGTTTGTGTGTGTATCTTTTATGTATGTACTCTTAACTTTTAATTGGTTAATTCAGACATGCCCACAAGTATATTTTTTAATTCTGACATTAGTGTTTCCATGCCTTTTCACTTTTAAGAAGTAATGATTTGTTTTCAAATTTCCCAAATAAATCATTTGTATTATGTTATCTATCATCGTCCGAAGAGGAACGATTATAATTCCGAAATATGAAACTGAACTGGTTGTGTGTATGTTTTTAGAGTGATAGGGATGTTTTATTTTCCGAACACAGTTAGCACATTGTGGCCGTGTTCGTAGTTAATATTATTAAGTGTTATCTTTTTCTTTTTTATTATTACGGCTTCCATTATTTTTAATCTTTTTTTACATGGGGATGAGGTTATTATGTTTGTATTTTCGACTAGTGTATTAAGGATGGAGTCTGGCAAGTTTTTGCGTGTGTTCAAATCGATTCTAATAGAGCTGTGGTCGGATAGGTGTAGCGTAAGGCGTCTAGTTAGGCATGTAGTTGTGCGACCAATGTAATTATTTATGAATTCCGTTTGAACAAAAATACATTTCCTTAAGGGGCATTTGATCTCATAGATAATGTTCGTTCGTTGTAATCGGAATTATGCGCTCGAAATTACAGGACATTTGGACACTTTCTACACACTTTCTGTAGAACTACATATTCGTCGCCTCGATTCTCGTCTTCATCTTTGAGGAGGCCGTCCATCATTCGCTGCCGTAAAGGAGGACAGATGTCACCAAACAGTTCAGTACTCTTTTCTTTCTTACCAAAGAAATCCTCCTGTCTCGTAATACTATACCTAGCTTTTGGAATGCGTCTTTGGCCATCTCAATATGTTCGGTCCATGGTATCCTTAGCATCCTTCTGTAGAACCACATCTCCGTTGCCTCGAGTCTCCATCTTTGAGGATAACGTCCAACATTCGCTGCCGTAAAGGAGGACAGACGTCACGTAGCTGTTCAGTAGTCTTTTCTTTGTTATCAAAGAAATCCTCCTGTCTTGTAATACTCTGCCTAGCTTTTGAAATGCGTCATGGCCATCTCAATTCGTCTTCTGATCTCAGCGTCGCACTACTGTTGCCAGATCTGGTTTGGTGCTCCTACTATGTATTCTTGACAAAATCCAAAGAAGAGTCTGTTATGTTATAAGTCCTGACCTGGCATCTCACTTTCAGTCACTTCCCTATCCAGGTGACGCAATTCTCATGTTAAATTTTTTTCTGATATGCTGTTCTCCTTCGTGACTTGACTGCATGAATTTAAGCGTGCTACTAGTTTGACAACTAGGTATCACAGTTTAAATGTTGAACTAGCTACGTGCAACCATAAGTTCTATCCTAATAGTTTCTTTTCTCGCACCTTTTGCGCGCAGAACTCTCTTCAGATTTTCTGCTTCTTGGCACCATCAATCTTCAAAAATACAACGCCAATTCTTGCTGAATTCTTCTATTTTATTTTGCTTTAACCTCACTTCCCCTCACTAAGGTCATCTCATTGTCTTTCGACTTCCTGTAACCCATTGCGTCTTAGTGGCATTATCGCCTTGCTTGGGAGTGAAAGGATCACAATAAAAAGTACAGTGTGGTTGATTAAAAAAACAGGAAATATATGTTAATGTTTTGAAGTTTCTTTTTTCACATCACTATTAGAACAGCATAAAAAGGTTTTGCATACTTCTTTGCTATTTATTTGCTGTAGTAACAAAGTGGTCATCTTTCTACATTATATAAAGAACATTCAACTTTGCTGTTCTTCTCTTGCAGCTGTCTATCTTTTTAACAAGACTAACAGCATCTCCTATTGGTATTAGCGTCGCCGGTCTCTTCATCATTGACAACTCTACGATACTTATGGTAAGTAACCGTTTCTTTACACAAGAATGGCGAATTATCTCAGTTTATGGAGGCAATTTAAGAACTGAGTATTGGACAGTAGCAATTTCGACATCTCAAACAATCAAGAGTCAATAATGATTCGATATTTACTGCAAGTTTATAAAATATATCCTTATACGATATTTTATTATAGAACTTTGTTAAATGTTTTCTATTATATCAAAGTTTATATTTAGGATGTTCATTTTAACGCCATATCGAAAATTGTTCACATATTTAATATCGAACACAAATTTTATAGTTACATTTTACACAACTGATTTAGGTAGACATAGGTTCGGTTTACACAAGACCGAAAAAGGTAGACATAGGTCCTGTTTATACAAGACAGAAAAAAAAGGTAGACATAGGTTCGGTTTACACAAGACAGAGATAGGGTAGACATAGTTTTGGAGTGCACAAGGCAGAAAAAGGTAGACATAGGTTCAGTTTACACAAGGCAGAAAAAAGGTAGACATAGGTTCGGTTTAAACAAGGCAAGAGTAGGTAGACATAGGTTCGGTTTACACAAGACAGAAATAGGGTTGACATAGGTCCAGTTTGCACGATTCTGAAAAGTTAGACATAGTTTCGGTTCCTTCGGGAATAGAAAATGTCATATTTAAACTTGATTTAAAAAGTTATACTTGGTCCGAATTTAGATTAAATTCTACAACGTAAAAATAGGTCTGTTTTGCGCTAGAATAAAAATGACAGTTTCTTCTCTTGAGAGGTTCACAGGTTCGAATCCTGCCAAGGGACGCATCTTTTTCTGTAATAAAATTATTGGAATATTCATAACAGTAGACTAAAATAAATAAATGTACCATTTAATAAATAAATGGATCATCTACTCAAATAAGGGTAATCATTAAATGCGCTCATCATCAGAATTCGAAACTTTGTGCTCCTTTGCAGGAGAAACCGTGGTTAGATCCGACGTGCTTTAACCAACTCAGATGCGAAGAGCGTCGTCGTTTCAGCAAAATTGTATACTACCCAAATGTTGTTGTTTTAGATTCATAACAATTTGTGCTGCTGAGCTCAACTAACTTTGGCACAGCCTACCTATGTTCAATTTCCTTTCCATCTGAAGGGTTTAGTATTTACTAATTCCACATCCTGAATTTCTATGGTAGATTCAGGGTAGATGCCATCACTGCTTTCATTCCAATTCCAGATCATAGTTTCTGTTTTGGAAAAGTTTTTATTGATTCCTATTTCTTGGAATGCTTCGTAGTGGAAACATTTCGTATTCATTGGCCGAGCAGTCCGTACTGTTTTCGGTTGAAATTCATAAAAAATCTTTATCTTAAAACAATTTTACATGAAAATAAGTTTTTCAAGCTCAGTAGCTGTTATTGGTTTTTTCAGTCTTGATAGGGGTTTCCTTACTAACCTTTTGTCTAAAGTAATGTGGAATGTCAACATCTAGATTATATCATTATTTTCTCTTTGAGTTGCATGTTATATCCATTTAGTTGAAGCTGCTTTTGGTAGACTTTAAACTGACGTATTTTCATTGTTATTTTCATCCACAGTTCTTTTGTGTGTTTGTAGCACCAGTTCACAAGGTTCGAAGAAGTGGCCTTCACCAAAATCAACAAACTTCACTCGCTCAGACATTTTTAATCATTGATCTGAGAAAGCGGTTGTATATATCTGACAGTTTAGATATTTCTGACCAGGTTTGGTGCCATGCATGACATCCATATAAAAGTCAGAATCTGACGAGGCTATTTAAAAAAAATGTCTTGAGTTTTCAGGTTAATACTTTGCTTTTGTATCAAATTGCAGGGTTGTGCCAAACTACCTCGAGTAGAGCCTAGTCTAGATTCATTTTATGATTTTCCACATCCTCTCTGCTGAATTTGATAAAAAAGAACAATACACTGAGGTATTTAGTATTTACTAATTCTAATTTAGTATTTACTAATTCTACATCCTAGATTTTTATAATGAATTCCATGTCGTTGCCATCATTGCTTTCATACCAATTGCAGATCATAGTTTCTGTTTTGGAAAGGTTTATCTTGAATCTTATTTCTTGAAATAATTCGTAGAGGAAAAATTACTAGTACTGTTGTCGGTTGAAATCCATAAAATCTTTATCTTAAAAAACAATTTTACAGGAAAATAATTTTTCAAGTCCAGTATTTGTTATCGATCTTTCCAGTACTGATGGGAGTTTCTTTACTAACCTTTTATTTGAAGTAGTGTAAAAATGTCAGCAAAAGTGTTAAATATGTTATTTTCTTTTCGAGATTCGTGTGCTATCCATTTTAGTTGTTGCTGCTGCTGAAAATTCCCAAAGAACGTGGTTTCTGTTATTTGGTACAGATCTTCGTTTGTGATTCTGCAGCGCCAGTCCAAAATATTCAAAGAATGATGATCTTTGCCAAAACTCTGACTCCATTCGCTCAAAGCCATTTTTAGCCATTGATCGTAGAAAGCGGTTGTATATAGCTGAGAGTTTAGATATTTCTGACCAGGTTTGGTGCCACGCATGACATCCATATGAAAGCCTCAATCTGACGAATCTATTTAAAGAAAATGACTCGAGTTTTCAGGTTGTTTTTTTTGTTTTTTTTGTATCAATTTACGGTTTTGGGCAAACCTACGTCTGGCGCAACTTATGTTCAGTTATTCTTTGCTCCTATATTAAATTTGTTATAAATAACTTATTTATAACTTTTGTTTATTTATATTGATATTAAATTATTTATAACTTATTTATTTATATTGACATTTATTTGTTTATAACTTATTTATTTATATTGATATTTATTTATAACTTATTTATAACTTTTATTTATTTATATTGATATTTATTTATTTATAACTTATTTATAATTTTTATTTATCTATATTGATATTTATTATTTATAACTTATTCATAACTTTTATTTATTTATATTGATATTTATTTATAACTTATTTTTAACTTTTATTTATTTATATTGATATTTATTTATCTATAACTTATTTATAACTTTTATTTATTTATATTGATAAATTATTTATAACTTATTTATAACTTTTATTTATTTATATTGATATTTATTTATTTATAACTTATTTATAACTTTTTTTTATTTATATTGATATTTCAGCCAAATTTATTTATAACTTTTTATTTATCTATATTGATATTTATTTATTTATAACTTATTTATAAAATTTATTTATATTGATATTTGTTTATTTATAACTTATCATTTGTTATAACTTATCTATACGCCGAGATATCTGAAACGCTTTGTATTTACTAATTCCACATCCTGAATGTTTATGATGGATTCAGTGTCGGTACCATCACTGCTTTCATTTCGATTCAAGATCATAGTTTCTCTTTAGGAAAGGTTTACCTATTTCTTGGAACACTTCGTAGAAGATGTAGATTCGTTGAAAGTACTAAACGTTCGCCCGAACAAGATGTCGAGAAAACACGGACGACGAAAAACAGTTGAAGAAAACATTCTGGTTTTGTAATGTGTTTCGGGACGACTGCTTTGGATTTTGGAAAAAATGGGGAAACGTGTTAGATAGAGTTAACCCCCACGTAGCGCTGACCCGATGTGACTGCATCTCATTGGAGAAACGATTCCTCTTTTATGGAGCTTGATCCCCATCCTTCCTGCCAGTTTAATAAGGAACCGTCATAACTCGCAGCCCACATTTGTCTGTGTGTCACATAAGAAGAAAATGAGTAACGACACCGATGTTCGAACGTGACACTCTGAACTTATGAATATATGTTTTCCGCCAGGTGTATAAATAACGGTGTCAGGCTACTGACTGGTGTGATTATTTGGTGATGACTGAGTGGAACTATCCAGTCGAATTAGTGTGAATTAATGTGTGTTGATGATTTGGGTTTTGATTTAGGATTTAGCTACTAACAAGGTATTTACTGAAATGGTTATCTTTGGTTGATTTTACTTCTTTGTTCTTGTTAAGTATTTATTTGCGGTTGTAATTAAATACTTTTTTCACTTTAACATTGAAGTCTCGAGTTATACTTAATTATTAATGATCACCGTACGTCACAAAATAATGACAGAATTAATTGTGTCCAGGTTAATCAGATATCGGATTGTCGTCTTTAAGTGCGTTTGGGCTGTCATGCTCAATTAAGGGGTTAGTCTTTCATTCCCAGCTCATTTAATCAGCAATATCGTATTTAACAGGTAGGAAATTATATTTAACAGGGACGAAATTACATTTAAAAGAGAGGAAATTATGTTGAAAAATTTCTTTTTTGTAAAAGTTTTGGATTATTCTCCATGACGCTGCAGAAATATTCATCTACTTTCATTTTTTAAACTTTCTTTTAAATTGACTCTGCATTTCAATCATTTACCTCCTTGTCTGTTTTCGATTGCTTTTTACTTTCTTCTCAAATATTTTCGGTTAGGAATAAGACAACGGAGAGCAGGTTTCGAATTCTAGTCGAATTCGATATATTCACATACGCACAAATATCAATGGGAAAGGTATGAAAGAAATTTTTTCTCTTCCTAGCTATGGATTAAATAGTAGGACTTGTATTATTTACATTATTCGGACTGTTATTCTCATCTTCATTGCCATATTCACAACGTTTCGGCCATTGTACGCTCCGGCCTTCTTCAGGTGACTGGAATTTCTAACGAACACTTTATTTCGCCCACCGGGGTATATTGTTCTAGTTCCACGTGCCATGCCTCTCCCACGTTGTGAATATAGCAATGAAGATGAGGATAACAGACCGAATAATGCAAATAGTGCAAGTAATCATAATGCTACATCTCAGAGATATAGGCAGATATCGTAGGACTTGTATCTGAAAAAAAATCATTGTTATTCTCTAAAAATTCTTAATGCAATATTCACTTTGCTAAAAATATTTTTAAGGTAAGATGTGGCAGAAGGCAGAATATTTTTACGCAGGGCGTTCCGGAAAAAGAATTAAAAAATAAATTGTCTTTAGATTTGTATACACATTTAATACCAAAATGTTTTTTTCCAAAATATAAGATTGCCCTTCGGCATTTAAAAGTATTTAAGTTGACCTTCCCACAAATTTGGGATGTGTCATAGAAGGCCAGTTTTTAACGATGGGCGTTCCGAGCTTGTAGGCTTGGGCAAAAATTGCCCGTAGACTCCGTATACACGGGGTCGGCTTTGACTGGCTCCCCAAACGAGACTCTGCCCTCGGCATAGCTTCATCTGGGTTCCTCTCCGACCAGAGGCAGAGAGTTCGATAAGAGAGAAGAGGAAGAGAACTCCCTCTTAAAAAAAAAAAGAATTATTATTATTATTATCCTAAATGTTTTTCTGCTTTAAATAAGACACAAAGGGTCGATAAGCCATAAAGAAGACAATCAAATCTCAAATACTTTGCTCTGAATAACTCAGAATAAACATTCTTGCCATCAATTTGGATTCTAATTTTGATTTTATTTTTTATGATTTCAGTTGGCTGGGACTCTCCTCACATATGTGGTCGTTGTAATTCAGACAAAACCAACCAGCAACAAATTCCGTCTTCCTGTGCCGGAGAGGAACTGTACATTTATATAAACGGCAACAAGAAATTATTATTGAGACGGATGATTCCTGCCTCTAAACTTTTAAACAAATATATTCAATTTTAGCTTGACAATATATATATATATATATATATATATATATATATATATATATATATATATATATATTCAGTATTAGGATTTCCTGAAATAGGAACTTCCATAACTCAATATCTATATAGATGGTCAATTTTTATAATGAAGAATTTTACATGTGAGCCTGGAAAATATAATTTAATGGACATCTTTATTGGAAATCATCGGCTCAGAATTTTCCATAGTAAACCATTTGCAATGCATTTCTATAATAAAGCGTATGCTGTAGTTAAACATTTGATATGTATTTACATAAGTAAGTATTTGTCATAATTTAAAAATCAAGGTAATGTTTCAACTAATACTACAAGGTGAGAAACAAAATTACGATGAAAGAAATTCTAGTGAAAAAAGGAATATTGGTTGACAATGCTTCATCTAATAAAGGAAATTAAGTTATTGTTACTACACTGCTTCGAAATGAAAAGTAATTTAAAAAATAATGATCGCCAAATTCATTTTAAAAATTCAATATAATATTATCCCCAATACTATTCATTCCTGGGTATGACAGTAAACTACATCCGGCAGCAATATCTCTGATTGAGAGATTGGAGGTTTTGAGGAGCTGAAAGGACATGAAAACAGTCATGGCACATATCCTGAATCCGTCATAAAATTAATGATGCACAATTAATAAATACTTAACACTTCAAATAAATTGGTGCATTGATCAAATATAATAAATTTAGTACAAGAGATTAGGAAATTCAAACGACCATAGGATGAGCTAGTTAAATTTTTGGCCAACTTTGCACGATGCTAGAAAAAAAAAACATTAAATTCAAAAGTAGCGGAAGTTAAAAGGCATGAACAGAGAAGAAAGGCATGAACCCATATCTTGGGAAAAGTATGTAGCCATCTCCCCTACCACAGCTATGAATTGAATAGCAGACCAGAAAGCAACAGTTCGGTAAACAACTTCTTAATTGCTTTTGTTCCCGGGGTGGTAGCACCTGTTAGGGTAGGGGTTTTCCAGCTATGGGGAAATGGTGAAATACCAGAAATACATTTTTATACAAAAAGAGCGACAATATATAACTAGCAATACATTCGATCTGTAGTTGAGGGCATGCAGTTGCGTTCAAATGATTTAGATTTCGGCATTAAGTGACCCATAGAGGTGTTGATATGTCGTTAAACAAAATCGACAAGAACTTCTATGACATTAATCTATATATCCTACAATTTCTTAACTCGAACTGTATTCCAAAATATAACCTAACAAAATAAACCGCCTTTAATATTTATGTCCACACGAACAAGTATAAAAAGCTGAGTATCATCTACCATGTATTCAATTGTGAAGGCAGAATAAGAAACTTAAATTTTGGCATTAACTGATCCATAAGGAGTCAATATACCGTTAAACAAATCAACTATCAACTACACAATACTGTTGGATTTTTTTTTTTAGCATTTCACTCCATGTAAGTGGATACACAGAGTAAAGAGGGTTTTTTGAGGAAATGATTAAAAAAAGGGCGTGGATCAGGATCAAGGCATCAGAAGATGTCGATTGACATTACATTTGAATATTTGAAGATTATAGCTATCAGGGATGAAAGTGATATGAAGGGAGTTCTACTGACGGGAAGTGCGAGAAAAGAGGCGGTTGGAGAGAAGAGGCGGTTGGAGTAGAAGAGGCGGTTACATTTAACTCTTTCGACAGTGAAAGGGTGGGACCAAGATGCATATCCGTCTCTGGATTTTGTCGAAGACCTCCAGATAAACATCGGGGGCACCGAGAATTAAGTTTCCTTTCGGTAGATGAAGCTATAGATTCAATGTAGTTGTTCTACTTCAGATCAGTGGACAGCGTAAAACCAAGCAGGCGCAGAGAGGCCATCCCGTGGAGTTGGGTAACAGCCATCCTGATCGCAGGCAGGAAGGTTTCTCTATGGTCGATAAATGAGAGCAGTTTTGTTTTGTAGGCATTAAAGTTTACAAGCCATTTCCTGCCCCAGTCAACCACAGATTGAAGGCCCTTTTAGAGACCTACGGCCAAGTTAATTTTGTCAACGATGCCGGATTTACTATTGAGACAGGAGTAAATAGTAGTGTCGTCTGCATAGACGCCAGCTTAGGAATTGATGACATCAGAAAGATCGTTGATAAAGATCAGAAACAGTGTAGGACCCATGACAGAGCCAGCGTTCGTATGAAAAGAACTGGAGGCGATCCCGTTTAAGGCGACCTCCATTTCACGGTTTGACTGGAATAATTTTATTAAGTCAAATAATCGTCATGTAATGCCGTATCCCTGAAGCTTACGCAGAAGGCCAGCGGGCCAAACCCTATCAACCGCTTTAGAGATATCTAGAGATACGGCTCGAGCTTCTCCGTTATTGTCAAGTGATTGGTATATAAATCCAGTTATGGCCGTGAGCACGTCAGCGGTGGACCAGGCAAAGCGGAAACCATATTGCTTGTCTGAAAGCAAATCTTGGGATGTAAGGTGCTTAACGACTTCGGCGTTGATTAAAGCCTCGAAAACTTTGCCGATGAGTGGTAGGAGACTGATGGGACGGTACTTAGATGGGTCAGAAGGGTCGTCAGAGTTCTTAAGAGGAGGGACAACAGATGAGGACATCCAACAGACTGGAAAGCAAGAGTCAGTAAGGCAATAGATTGGAGAGGACTGATGCCAGTTCAGGAGCCCATTTCTTCATGACAACGGCTGGTATCCCGTCCCCGATACTAGCTTTAGGGGATTCTAATTTAGAGACGACTAGCAGTAGAGCACGGCGTTGCCCGGGGATGTAACAGTAAGAGATAGATCAAGTATCGACCATCATAAAGACTGAAAAATAAAATTGACAAAGATTTTGTTTGTTTTTTACGAATTGGTCAAACCCAAACTCAAACAAAAACATTGTTTTCAATCGTTATGAGTCTACCGATTGAATAGAATTTTATTATAAACAATTCTCTTGTAAATGGAATTTTTAAAGCATTCTGAATGTAAAAATAAAGAAAAAAGTGTGCAAGACAATAAGAAACACTACCTGCCAAAAAAAAAGTGAAATTTTGTTGAAATCGGTTGAAAAATGTAGGAAATCCGATCCCATATATAAACGAACACACACAAATAACCTGGGTTTTATAATAAGTATAACTCGATATGAGTTGTTCTCCTTTCATTCTTGTGATGCCTCTTAATCGTGTTTTCAAATTGATTTCGTGCAAAAACAATTGTGTTTTTCCAATTTTTGGCGCTGTTAGAACCACCGCAAGGTAATTTTACGTAGTCCTGTGAAGTTTTGTTGAAATCGGTTGAAAAATGTAGGAAATCCGATCCAATATATAAACGTACAGACACACACACACAACCTGGGTTTTATAATAAGTAAGATGTCCAAAACCATCGATGGGGTTATGTTTATATCACTCAATAGAGCCTCAATTCTATGGAGAAAATTAGATGCGGGTACTCCGGATGAGTTGAGCGTTGAATTGGATGAGAATTTCCGAGTAAAGCATACAGCCTTATCAGCTGAGGAAGTCAGGGCCTTAAATTGATTGAATAGAGAAGGTATTAAGGATTTTCTGTTGTTCAGCACGCTCTTGCAAAGCCGCCAATAATCTCTAGAACCAAACTTACGAGATGCAATACGTTGTTTCATTTTCCCAGCAAATAGTAGTTTTGCTTCATTGAAGACACGCTTGCACTCGTTACGGGCAGAGACAAAGAGACATCTGTTGCGATCAGACATGTCGCTTCATAGATGGAAAAAGTGATTCCTATGGGCAATAGCAGCTTAGCAAGCGGCTGTGGACCAAGGAGATGAGGGCAATTTAACTTTATATTTTCTTGCAGGGATGAAAGCCTCGATTCTTGCTTTTACCCAGGAGGAGACCTCAGACGTACATTTTCGATCAAGGAGATTTAAAAACCACATTCAAGCGGACATGGCGAAGGAAATCACGAAACTAGTCCCAGTCTGCGCGTTGATGACAGAAAGATATTCTGTTAATAGTTCTTTGCTAGGGGAGGTGTAGAAGGAGATGTTAACAGACATTACGTCATGATCAGAGTTGCCAAGTGGATAGATCTGCGTAACACGACAGGAGTTGGAGATGGGAGTAAAACAGAGATCGAGAAGAGAAGCCTTACCGTCAGGGTTACTGGGGAAACGCATAAGAAAGTCAACCACTTGTATGAGGGATTGAGCGATTGAAAAGTTAAGGGTTTGTATGCCAGCAAGGTCAGTTACAGAGTGTTTAAACCACATTGTATGGTGGTTTATATGGGTCTGTATGCCAGCGAGGTCAGTTATAGAGTTTTTAATCCATGTGGTATTGTGGGCATTAAATTCACCAAACACGAATATGTGCACAAACGGATTTTGAGAGATGGCCTTGTCTATATTATCGGAAATGTTATAAAGTACATCACACTCTTGAGAGGAAGAGGAATAGAGAAAGAAGAGATCGATAACAGAATTGAGGAGAGATAGATGGATACATATATATGGATGGTTTGGAAATTCGAGAGAAATTTCCCTAACTAGTGGAAGATGGCCCCGGGCATAACCTCCCAGGCCATGCATGTGGATTTTAGAGTCCTTTCTAAGGAGAGTGAGGTAACCGGGAATCGAGAAATCACAGGAGGGCATTGACGACTTAAGGTTGGTCTCGCAGAGAGCTAGCATATCGGGAGACTTTTCAACTGCAGAAGTTGGATCGAATGACACGGATGTTAAAAAAGGAAACGTTAAAGGGTTTAGGAGATTTTTTAGAGCTGGTTTAGGTCTATTTTTATGATGGTCTAAGGTCATTTTGAGTCATGTCGGTAGTGAAAAGGACTAAAGTAATAGTAGCAGAAGGTCATCGTATGTTACATGGACAGAAAGAAGCTGGTGCAGACTGCAACATAAAGTGGCCTCAGGGTTG